AAGAGCTGAAAAGAATTATGTCTCATTTAGGCTTGTTTCCAGAAAAATAGAAATGGAACTAGGGCATGAAAGAGTCATTTTGTTTTCAGAACTGAAATAATCATATTACTCCCTGTCATCTTGAAATACAAGAATTTTTGAAAAATTCTCAGAAGCTCTGATAAATGTCCCTATATAAACAATAAATATATATTGATTGTTTATTTTTTAAACTCAAAATAATCGCTCGCAAAAAGAGAAAAACTTATTATGAATCACCAATATTTTAGTTGAGAAAACAAGTAAATTAGTCCAATGAAAAATGTTTTATTCTTATGTAACAGCACTCCAAATACTGTATATACACCTTTTGAAAATACTGAAGAAAATTGAATTGGCGTAGATTTGCTGTTTTGCATACGAGTGCATCAAACATGAAAAAGAAGCATAAAAAATCCTTACCTTGCATGAATAAAACCCGTCCTACATATAGTATTTACGGTTTGACGTATAGTAGGCTTCTGTTATCTAAATGATGATAAAATTACTGACCAATAAATGCTTAAACGTTTTTTGAGTTCCATGTAGGGATAAAAAAGCAGAAATAGCAGTCGTGTTGAACTTCAAAGCACGAAAGTTGCATCCCTAATGAAACTCTGCTCCACTCTGGAAGAAAAACGCAGGCATGCCTTCAAGCTGCATGTATATGCCTATTTATCGAGCTCAAGCAGGGAACGCGTTACGGGGAATCCCGTAACCTCGTTCCCCTCCCCACGGAATATAGGTTCACGACGAAGGAGTGCGAATAGGATGGATAAAAAATTGATAAGGCAAAGCAGCAGAAAGCACGAAGCAAATCACAAAAAAAACCTATACGCAATGAGCCAGAAAACGAGTGAAAACACTAGACTGGGATTGAGAAGATCCGTCGAGCCGTGGGGGATCCATCCGTCATTGGTTTCCCGAACATCAATTCAGAGCCCAGCCAGGGAAATCGAGGTTTTTTTTTCAATAACCTCAAAACACGTGTTTCTGTCAGGCGAATTTAGTGAGTGGGATTCACAATTTAATTGGAAAGCATGACGTGGAAAATAGGGGAGCAAATCAGAAAACAAAAACCGGAGACTGAATTTCCCTCCGTATGTTTTGAATTCCAGAATTAAATAGAATAGGGTGATGCATCAGCTCAAGTTTTTTTTCCCCCATGATTTTCATTGGAAAATAGGGGAGCAAATCAGAAAACAAAAACCGGAGACTGAATTTCCCTCCGTATGTTTTGAATTCCAGAATTAAATAGAATAGGGTGATACATCAGCTCAAGTTTTTTTCCCCATGATTTTCACCAAATAAAAGTTTCTTAAATTGATCTAGATATTGTCGAGATGAGCTTAAAGTAATTTTATCTGTTTTTCCTTTTTGTTCTTCGATGTTTTATATACCCACGTATATGCAAGAGAGTGAATAACAGATTTCTTTGATCAATTGATTCAACACCAACTTCTCATTTCCGGAAATTTGTACTCTGAATTTCCATGCTCATTCGCATATATTGAAGTGCTTTTCGAAATTGATCTTCAATTTCGTTAATTTAACAAGCCATACTTACGTTAGAAAAGCCATCGATTCAGTTGATTCAATTACTCATGCACCTGAGAAATTTCAACGCGTTTCTATGCAAATTGTTTTTTTTTTCGAAAGTACTTGTACATTTATATAATTATATATGCAAAGAGTGAGTCAATTCGAGCTACATTAATTGCATATTTGCTCTACACAATCTGTTTGGGATGGTCGTTGAGGTTGCAAAATACAAGGCTTATAATCTTTTCTGAACTTTCATTGCTCATCCAATTAAATTTCCTTACTTAAAAATAATACTAATTTTCTTTATAATATCTTCATTCTCCACAGAGATAGCTGTAATATGAAATTCTCAGCTAGTAGTCTATCTCCATCAGTTTTTTCCGCCGTTTTTTTCCTTATTTTACAAGTGATATCTATGGATAGTCTAGGTATTCTAGAAGGACAAATTTGATAGCCAGGAAAATATTATCGAAGCAAGAAATTCCCTGCTATATATCAGACCATGAACTGTATATCTGGATGCTTTAATTGAAAAACACGATTATGACACTCAGCTGGCTTGACATTTAAGCATTTCCTAATTTCCCTTGAAACGTACAGTATTTTTGTCTGTATGACCCCCTTATTATTTTGGTTCATCGGAAGCAGACCCATGAAATTTCCTGACTTCGATTGGGGTCGGAATCATCGACGGCAGCAGCAGGACGGGATGTGGAAAAAAGTATAGTGGGACGGTATAGAGCTGCTCGAATACGGCCCTGCAGAGAATGGGTTCCAAAATCGATGCGGCCCGAGGAGAAATCAGCTATGATTTCTAGGCTCTCGTGGTCGAAGCAGATAATCTCAAGGTCTATGTTTTATCTCTTTGGGTCTCTTCATTCCTTTTCTGTCCTTTCCATCAGAAGTTTTTTTTTTTCCTATCACTATTTTTCCAGTTTACTGGGAAGACCCAGATTTCACGGTCCGGCGTTTCCTTCCGTTTCCTTCCAGGAAATTGAACCGAACTATAGAAATCTGTTTTTCTCGAATACGTGCCTTGAGATGCTTTTATTTCATATTTCAAGGAAGATCACATAATGACGAAATAAAGGCTTTGCTCATACTGTATCAGACTTTATTCTTGAGCGACATGCAACTTGCGTTTCGTTGAATTTTGAAAAAGGTCAAATGAGCGCAAACCCCAAATGAGCGTCAGTTTGATGAACAGGAAGACATTGAAACACCGTTTTTTTTTGCGCTGGATCAGTTAAAACGTGCATTTTTTAATGTTCTTCTTCAAAATTGCGGATTTCTGTCAATTTGCATTGAATAGATCTTTACAGACATGTTCGGCATGCTTTTAATCGTATATTCTCAAATCCCTCGATCAACATTCGGAAGCGTGAAAGCCGACTGAAAAAAAAAAAAACCGTGACCATGATTTCACGCAATTCATCGTTGGCAATCCTTATACTCTTACTAAACTTTAACATCATTTTTATTCCTTTTTGAGGCTAAAAATATTGTAAATGTGTGAAATAATGCTTGTCTCCGGCTCACGCGAAAAAACGTGAGGGAATGTATGAGACCATTGTAAAAAGAAAAAATTGCAATGACTATTTGGCAAGCTTTTGATGTTGATCAGTCGAACAGCAATTTCATCCTGAAGTCACAATAATAAGGCAAAGATTTTGTCTCCATATTATCGCATGATGTGCAAAGCTCCTTCAGCAAGCAAAACCGTTTTAAAAAATCACCCCAAATTCAAAAATCTGGGAATGAAACTGTAACTTCTTCCTTATTAACCTTTTTAAACAAATCAAGACGTGAAATTACCACCAGTAAAAACAATCAGACTTCGGTATAAAATCGCAAAGGATTTTTCTTCTTTTTATTTTTATTAATTTTTTCTTTTAGCTGATTGGGATAGTTTTTTTTTTTTTAGTTCCCCGATACGCTCCACGCAATGCCAGTAAAGTAGCCTAGCGGTCAATATAACCCAGGCGCGAAAACGTTGGGTTACGCCGGAAAGTCCCATAAATTTGTTGGGATAATATCGCTGAACGAAGCCCGGGGTACAGTCCACTTTTTCCACGCCCGCTGAACCCGTCTTCCTTGGGTCGGGATACTCCTCTCGCAGGAACACCAACCCGTGGGTTGCTGGTACATCAGAATAAAAGGGAATACAAACGTCAATTTCATAATGCAGAAATATTATTTGACAATTAACTCAAGAGTGTTTCACGGAGATTCTCTTCGCCATTTCAGTAAAATAATTTATTCCTGAGTATTTTCATTCCCTCGAAACAAAAGAGTGTACAAATAGTGTATAGGGTTCAAGTTTTGTACCTGTAATGATTCACAAGTATTTTTCAATCATTTGAACGTTTTTTATTTAAGACTTTATTGAGCAACGCACATAAGATTTAAAAAAAACCGTTGACGAAATAGTGCTTGAAACATTTTTAAATTTCATTTGGGGGGTAGTAAAGAGAACTAGATTCGTTAAGAGGTCTAGGATAAACATGAAAATATCTAAGTTTTTGTATGGTAATGTTGATCTTGGATATCTTAAGACCTAAATTTTAAGGTAGTGTTGAAGAAGCAGTGTTTCATGAAGTTCATGACTATTCGAAACACTATTTTAAAAATTCTAAGCCAGTGACCAAGTGATAATCGGAAAATCTTGAAGTTTACTGGATAATAAAAAACATAAGCTTATGTCCATCGGAAATATTAAATTACGAAAGTTCGAAATTTCGATCGAATTTCAAGAAGTAAGCAGTTTTAGTAGGAGGTAGNCTAAGCCAGTGACCAAGTGATAATCGGAAAATCTTGAAGTTTACTGGATAATAAAAAACATAAGCTTATGTCCATCGGAAATATTAAATTACGAAAGTTCGAAATTTCGATCGAATTTCAAGAAGTAAGCAGTTTTAGTAGGAGGTAGAAGGTCATTATGAAGACTTGGCGAATTTTCGAATGACTCGCGGGGTTTCGAAGCTATAAAATATTTTTGCCACAGGCAATATTTCAATTGCGCCTAGTTGTTCATGCCACTGCAATTTTTGCCTCAAAGAAAAATATAGTCCCACCAGGAAAACGATGAATCAATTGCTTGTGATGTGTTCTCCACTGGCCCTTGCGCAGTTTCTTCCGCTCGACCTGGTTCCTCGACTGCTGCCCTTTTTTTGTGCAGAAAACTTGCACGAAGAAGCAAAAAGTGCCCGCACTTTCTCATGGTGTCAGGCTTTTTTTTTCTTCTTACTTTCTTTCCTTTTTTCCCTCTAGATATTGCTATGCATTCCCACTTTTTCAAGCTAAACTTTCAAGGGATTAGAAATGCCAACATCCTCGACAGGAAGTTATTAACGCAAACTTCCGATATGATCGTGTTGATCTGCAGTCGTTCTCCCAAATTTCAGTCACAACTTGGAATCTCAAAGAAAACGCCGGCATAAATTTACGCAAACTCGCCTTCATTTTATCCCAACAGGAACAACGAATATAGCCTCGGTTCAAAAGAAAAATGAAAAGAAAAACAAAACATGAAATAAAAAGAAAACAAGCGTAACGCGGAAATCGAAAAGGAGAATAACAAGAAACACCAGCGTTGACAGGTTTTCCAGAATCGATGACGAAAAAAGAACAAACAAACAAATGAATGAATGAATAAACTGAATAACCATTACACATGCACAGGAGGGATCAAAACATTCCGAGACACACTCTTCCTTTGAAAAAAAAAACAAGTCAAAGAAAAACGATCTGAATCAAATATAAATTGAAAAGTGTGAAATCCGTCACCGTCGGCGGTAACTGGCCCCGTTCCTGCCCCTTGTCGTCGACGCCGAGCCCGTCGAGCCCGAAGACGACGAGGAGGAAGAGGAAGACGACGAAGAAGAAGAGGACGATGACGACGCGGATGACGTGGCGGATGTCGTGTGGGACGCCGACGACGCCGACACGACTGCCTCGGCCACGGGCGGCGCCATTTGTACTTCCGACACGGTCGGGATTTGCTCCATCTCGAACATGTCTTCCATCTGCTCATCCTCATCGTCGTCCATGTCGTCTTCGTCCTTCACTAGCCCGCAGCGTTTCCCCATTGCGCTTATACTGGCCACAACTTCCTCCTAGAAAATTTAAAAAATAAACGAAATGATGAAAAAATCTCGGTGTTATCGCATAAAATGAACATACAAATGGATTCCAGCGTAGGTCATTAAAACTGCGAGTATTTTCACATATAGATATGTTTGATGTGGGTTAGATTAAAGCGCTGTTGTTTTCAATTTGTGTGCTCCGCAGAACCTTAAAAGCTAATTTATTATTGTTATGTTCTGTGTGGTTGGTTTTGATTGATAGATACAACGCTCTATTTTAAAAGTTCAAAATTTGTTGCCCCATCCACCCCCTCCCGATTACACTTATCACACTCATGTACAGTGAGACCCCGAGATGCGGACGTAATTGGTGCATCAAGAGTGTCCCCAAATTGAAATGTACCTAAGCTGAGTCTTGTTTCCCCATAGACTAACATTATATAATTTTTAATTGGTGTTTTGTGGAAGAAATATTCTTCAGGATTCCCTGAAAAAAATTGTTTGCCACTTGAAATTGAATTAGTGAATACATTTTCAACTCAATAAGAACATTTGGAGTATTGAATAGTGTATCTCTGTACTGTACACTGAACTTTTGGCAAGTGAAGAAAAGTAGAAGTCCCTCTATGCTGGAGGTAACTTTTTTAAATTAGCTAAATGGATAGTAATTTGGCGAGAGAAATGCCCAAGAACTTTTCTTACATCAATTTCAGGGTTGGAAATATCTGTTTCTTGTAATTAGACTGGAAATGTATTTGCAATTTTTTCACAAAATTTCCCTATGTTGAGTCAGTGTCCTCATGTTGTGCCATTTTTGTTAATTTTTTTCTGGAAAAATAAGTGTCCCTATGTCGAATTGTCCGCAGGTTGAGGCGTCCGCATGTGGGGGTCTCACTGTATTTCACTCTTCAGATCAATTCAATTAATTCATTCTAAGTATCCAAAAATAAGAATGAATAAATAATTGCAAATAGTCTTAACAGCACCTTCAGGAGGTTATTCTCATATGTACTGC